TGTGTGTGTGTGTGTGTGTGTGTGTGTGTGTGTGTGTGTGTGCTCACGTGAAGAAGCAGGCCAGATCCTCGGCGTCTGAAGCACTGGAGCAGAAGAGCCTCGCCGTCTCGCCGAGTCTCTGCCACAGTCTGAAGGAGTCCTGAGCCTCTCCATCCGTCCGGGTCGGCTGGGGCATGTGTGGTGGGGCACGGGCCACTAGAGTGCTGAAGTTGGCCTTGAACGGAAGGTTAACGTTTAGCTGCAGCGTATGAATGGGGCAGAAGGGATTGTGACGAGGCGCTGAAGCATTACTGAGGACATTAGGGCTGAAGTGAGGCACTAAAACAGGCCACGCAGGGTTAAAACGAGGCGTTATGTGAGGATAGAGCCGAGGTGCGTGAAAAGACGGGTTCATGTCTGCAAAAAGAGCTACTGGTTTGACATTTAAAGAAGGAGAAGCAGGGTTTTGTGTTGGGAAATGTAGAAGATTTGGAGGATGGCAGATGTTATTAACATGAGCTGAAGATGAAGCACGAAGGGTGTTTGATGAGACCGAGGGTCCAGGATCTTCAGATGTCGGCTGAAAGCCTTGATGGCTTTCCTCAAGCTCTTCATGAAGCTGTTGGAGCGAATGGACCGGCCGAGACGTCTGAGAGGTTCCCACCAACTTCATTTGAGGAGCAGCAGCCGATGTTTCTGGGAGAAGAAGCACGTTTTCACGTAAATCACCCATTGTGCCTGGAAGAGGAGCACCAGTGAACTCTTTTCTCACTCCTGCGTTCGTCTGCTGTGGCTTCAGATGCTGTTGTTGGTAGTGAAGCGGCGATAACACGGCCTCGCTCTCTCCAGCAACTGTCTGGCAGCGCTCCACCGGGGACTCTTGATGTGTATTTGATGGAGAAAGAGATGAAAAAGCTTGCTCGGGTGAAAACCCCTCACCGTAGAGAGGTTGAAGGTGCTCCATCTATCTAAAAACAGAAATGTGTCCTGAAAAAAAAATGTTGTATAGCTGCATTGTAGCTCATTGGTATCGTATTAGTTTTATTTCAATCTTTGCAAGTAATCAGTGGTAGCCATTAAAGCAGCACTATGTAACTTTGTCTGTGTTCGAAATTTGCTAAATGTATATAATGAGCGAGTACATCATGAATTAATCTTCCAAACCGCGTTTTTGTCTTATTCCGAATCACTACGGTACACTTATAATAAGTACTTATATTCGGACTATTGTAGCCTGCTCACCGCTGCGGAGTAACACATACCTGCATGAATCGCCATAGACATCAACTTAGAGAAGTAGATCCGGTTAGAATGTTCTTCCGCGGGATGTGTGCAGTTCTGTTTATTAACCGCTAGAGCGACAAAAGTTACATAGTGCTGCTTTAATAATAACCCATAAACAGCAGTAAAAAGAATTATATCA